CACTCATGCTTTATTCCACTTAGGCATAGCAGCCTTGCCCTAAAAGCCCAGGTCCACAATCGCCCTTTTACCTTCCCTTTGTTCAATGGAACCAGTAGAAACACACCCAGTCCCTGCCATTGGTGCTGGCCTGAGTTTGTTTCCCTCTCTCCTTCATGCACAGGAAGCACCTCCGGCTTTCCTGTCCACTGCCCAGGGAAACGGTCTTCAGAGATCACTCTCCTGCTAGATCACTCCGTTCATTCCCCTGACTTCCATGTAACTTCACATGGCAGAGGGTGGGAGCTCAGGACAGGACCCTTCATGGTTCCTGCCTTACTTCACAAGCGTAGGAGAACTCCACCCCCAGACACCTTGCCAGGTGCTAGGGACAGAGACAGTGAGCCTCAAGTGCTGCACTAACGCTCGGGAATGGGTGCTGGGGGGTCCCGGCCAGCAGTGACATGTCACAGTGACATGAGGGGCTGAGGGTGACACGAAGAGGTGACTTATAACCCTGGAGGGCTAGCCACCACCATTGTATCCATCCCACTGGGGAGAGTGGCATGGGGAGCCCACTGGAGATGGGAAAGCAGCAGCAGTAGTAACTTCCTCCCGTGTGTGCTCATGCACACTCTAATGCACCCCTCTGCTTCGGAATGACTGATTACTTATGCAGCGCGTTCCTTTTAAAACACTGGCAAGACAAAATTCTAGCAAAATATTCAAGTTGGAACCTAATGATTGGGACGCATAGGCTGTACTGAATAACCCCAGAATCTCAACGGCTTGTTTTCTGCTAGACTAGAGCGTCATATCCAGTGAGGGTCTGGGGCCCTGCCCCTCATCTTCCTCAACAAAGGCCCAGTGCCCTGGGGACACTGCTCCTCTCCCTGGTGGAGGCCACAGTGGAGCAGAGCTGAGTCACTCCCTTTGGTGGTTACAGTGACTGCAGCCCCAGGGCAGTGCTCACCTGTGCCTCTGAGGTAAATACCAGCAGAGGGAGCCGTGCTCCCAGGATACACCCTTGCTCACCTTTGGAAGGTGATGTCAGTGTTAGCAGTGGGTGAGTAACTTCAGCAACGCTGGCCTCCCCACGTTTGATTTCTGCCAACGTGATGGGCAAAACAGCACTGGTGGATTGTCATCTCGTCGCCCGGGGCTGAGCATCTTTTCATGCTGGGCCACTTGGGCTTCTCTTCTCATGGAGACCATGTCATTTCCAGTTTTTTATATTAGACCATGTTTGGAAGGACGGACGGGATGGGGGTGGTGGTGAATGGATGGATGGGATGAGGGGTGAATGGATGGGTGTCTACATATGTGGGAAGGGTGGGTAGGTGGACAATAGGAGTCCCCTCTTTTTCTGTCTCTGGAAGAGTGTGTAGGATCAGAATAGTCTGTTCTTCTTGACTGGGATGGCTGTCCTGGGCCCTGGGTTTCCTTTGGGTGAAGATTTTAAATAATTCAGTACCTTTAGTGGCTGTGGTCATCCATTCAGGTTTTTCTATTTCTTCTTGAGTTAATTTTGGAAAGTTATACTTTACCAATAATTTACCCTTTCAGCCATGTTTCTGACAGCATCTTATACTGTCTTCATATTATATATGCTGTATCTGGGGCCTGTTACCCTTCACTCTGTTTGTGCCTCTAGTTTCTCCATTAGTCTTGCTGCACTTGTCTACTTAATGGGTAATTTCAAAGAATCAACCTTCAGCTACAGCATCTTTTTTTTTTCTTTCTTTAAAATGTATTTCTTTATGTCCATTAAGCCACACTCGCTAATTGTGTTGCCCACGTTTTAGTTTTCTCTAAGAAGTCAGTCTCCCACTGTGATGGTACCTTTCCCCATATCTAATTTTAGGTCCGCCAAGTTTACCTCATACACTTTAAATCAATTTTGCTAAATAAGTACAAATGTTAGATCTTTATATCCTTTTGATGAATTGAAATTTTTATCGTCACACGGTGACCTTTGTGCCCAGTTCAATCCGTGGGCCCAGTGCAGCAGACGCCACACCAGCCTCCTCTCGCGGGTTTTGCGGAGCACCAGTGTCTCCTCGCCGTGGAGCCCCTCTCCCCCCCACCCCCACCCCGTCCGATGTCTCCTGTACCCAGCTTGAGGCAGGGATCCTGTTATCTTTAGATCCAGTGCCACAACCTGTGCTTTGGGCGGAGACTTTGGTTGTGACCATTGGTTTGAGTGCGGGTTGTTTGGTTTGTTCAGATTCATTTCCACCATCTGATTCTGTGGTATTTGCCCCTTGCCTTGGCTCTCTTTTCTCTTTCCATGCCTGCTCTTGACACAGGACTCCATTTGTCCTCTCTCTTGAGTGGGAAGATACAGCCAATCAAATTCTCTCGGTCATGATCCTTAAAAATGTTAGTGTGTGCCCTTGACTCGGTCTGTAACCTCACCCTTCCCTGTGCTACCAGGGTGTGGGCTGCTCTGTGTACAGGGGACATCACAGATTAAATGCAGGCACTCAGATGAACAGGCTTATAAAGCATGACTGGCTCATCAGACATTTTAAGTGTGACTGGTGTCTGGTATGTCTGTCTGTAGGTGGGCAGCCCAGCCCCTCCCGGGTCTGTGCAGTCATGACTAGTATTCTTTCCCACTTGTGTCACTGCCACTGTGCCATGCGGCCTGTTTACTTGGCCATCCTGCTCCTGTGCTGTTTTCTTTGCTCCTTGGGCCTCCTCATTTCTCAGTCCACTGGGTCATTTTCATTCTGCCTTCAGCACAGCCCAGAGTCTCCCTTGGGAAACACTTTTGTGCGAACCTTCCCAGCGTGTTGTTTTACAGCCTTTGTTTCACCCTCCCTGTTGCTCAGTGAGGAAGAGGTCACACCACTGTCTTCCTGCTCCTTTGCCATGAATCCAGCGCTGTCTGGCTGGTGCTGCTCCTCTGACGATAGTTTTGTCCAGCTGCTTGTAGAATTTTCCACAGGTTCAATCCAACATGCCTGAGAGTGGGTTTCCCTTTAAAATTCCTCAGCTCGGGTCTTGACCCCCTCCTGAACTGAGCGTGGGTTCCAGTGGTCCATCAGGATGCCCTCCGTGTGGGCACCTGTGATGATGCCTGCCATTCCCTCAGGGACTTGAGGTCAGCACCTATTCCAGTCTCCGGGCTGCATCTGGGCCATTTGCAGTTGTTGCTTCCATGCTTGCTTTATAGCTTAAAACTGATCATTTCAATGCCGCAGTCTCTGAGAAGCTGAGCTTTGATTTTTGGGTGTCTTTCAATTTACTCGTAAGTAGCAGAGTTAGCACATGTGTCTCTCAGACATTTCCCTTTGTTGTCACCATCATACCTCAGTGTGGGACAGGGTCACTGCCTGGGAGCCAACCCTGGCACACTGCTGTTAGCAGAAGCGCAGGACACACTGAGGTTCACTCGGTTTTCCTGAGAGCCCTTCTGTTTCTGCCCACAGTGGCCCTGCCGGCCTGTCACCTGAGTCTCCTCAGCTGTGACAACTTCTCAGTCTTTCATGTTCTCACAACCACCACAGTTTGGGGGAGTGCTGGTCAGGTGTTTTATAGAGTCCATTTATGTTTGTCCGTTTTTTCCCTCATGATTTAGGGGTTAGGGAAGCAAAACCCCAGGGGTCCAGTGCCCTTCTCCACACTTCCTCTCCCGATGCTGTCCACGTGGCTCCTGCTGAAGTTCACCGTGAGGCCTGGTGATAGTGGGCTTGTCAGTGTATGTCCCCACCGTGAAGGTCCTTTGGCTGGAAGTCACTCGTGCAGCCTTGCACGTGCTTTGGGGCAGGTGGGAGGTGTTAGCTCTGTCAGGGGAGGGCTGTGTACTCAGTCACTTTTTATATCAGTGCTCACTCATGGCTGTTCATGTCAGACTCGGGATTATGATTCAGTATTGCGTCTTGTATTCCGTTTCCTGCTAGCCCTGTGTGTCCCTCGGACGAGCCCTGGCATCTGTCTTTAGCTCTTTTGTACTCTGCACTGGAAGACGCCCAGGCTCCTCCGTGTTCTCCCCGCTGCCCTAGAACAGCCGCGTCTCCAGGGAGCCAGTTCCTTTCATTGGAGGGTGGTATTAGAGGCCGAGATTGCTGCTCCTGGCCCGAGTGCAGCTCGCTGGCTTCTGTGCTTCATGATCGGGAACTGAGTTGGCAGCACTGATTGGCAGCCTCGGGGCCGTGTGCCCATGGGAGGATGGACAGTTGCTGTGCCTGTCACAGACCCACCACTGCAAGTGCAGGTCTGCACGCTTCGTGTTTACCTGGCATTATCTCGGGTGCCTCTGTTCTAGCTTTTACCCAGAGCCAAGGCAAGAACAAAACTGCTTACAGTCGTCTCTGCAATCACGTTTGTGCATCTGCCCTCCCTGGCTCATCCTGGGGCTCCGGGCTTCCAGCCCACCTGTCCCCAGTGTGTCTCAGTGGGTTCCAGCTTCCACCGAGCCCCCAGGTCTCTCCGGGGTTTGGAGGCTTATCCGGTTATTTAAAGTTCTTTTAATCATTGTGTTTTCATGCTCTGTTGCAGCCACTCTGGTTTGCCCTGGAGCCCTCTGGCCTTGTGTGGGTTCTGCTACCTGCCGCCAGCACTTAGGGAATCGCCTAGAGCAGAGGTTCCTTCTGTTCTGCTCAATACTTTTCTTCGATTTACCTTTTCTCCTGTTATTAGAAGAAAACCATCGCCAGGGAGTAGTCAAGCATTTTTATTTAAAATACCAGGAATGTGAAAGTGATGTTCCCAAAAAGTGGTAGTTATCCCCCTGATCTCATGCTGAAGTCTGCACCAGCCCCTCCCGGACACCCTCTGTGGCCCTGCTACCTGAGAACCACAAGCATCCCTGAGTTTCCTAAGCAAAGTGCCCTAAAGAAAATAAGTTCCCTTTTGTAAAAGTTTATGTGATAAATCTGAAGCCCACATCTGGCTGTTAAACTTACGTTTCTTCGCCGTTGGCAAGTGCACTTAAGACACAAGTGCTGATTGTGAACAGCCTGCTCTGATGTGCACGGGGTTATATTAACCATACAGTCGCATGTCTTTTGCAGCTCGATCCTCTCCCAGAAAAGGTTTTACAGCAGAGACCCAATGCCAACGCCATCCGGTCCATGGAAAAGGTCATTGAGATTCACAGTAAGTTGTCCTGGCCAGGTCTCTGGCCGGGAAATTCTCCTGTGGGAGGAAGAGTGCAGGACTCCCCGGCCCCGATTCCCCTGCCCTGGGCTCCTCTCGTGTCACTGCCGGCTGCATCCTGGGCCTATAAGACAGGCCTCGCTTCCAGCCAGATTTGATGAGCTGGTGGAGACTCTTGTTGAACCCCCACTCGCTCCCCACAGCCCACTACAATGTGTCATCACCTCCATGTCACAAAAGAGCCTGCCTCCAGGAGGCTGGGAAGTCACTTGCTCCAGGTCCCCAGCTAGCAGGGTGGGGCCAGGGCGTGAACTGGTCTCTTCCCTGGCCCGAGAACCCCACCCCTCCCACAGACTCAGTGTGGGATGCAGGGCTCCCTATTTCCTAGTACTTCCCCTCCAACATCAAGTGCTGGGGACCAAGGGAGCTGACACACAGCCAGGTGACTCAGACAGTGTGCTAGCTACCCTTGTTACAAAGCTCATTTTGTCCTGGGTCCTTAGGATGGCCCAAATTGTGGAGGCTGTCCGTGGGTGGAAACCAGGGATCTCACCTGTGTGTCCTGCACGGGTGTTGGGTCCCTCCTAGTCTTGGAGCTGAGCTATTCCCCTGTCCTGATGAGAAGCCCCTGGGTGCCAGAAAACACCGAGAGGCTGGCTCTGGGCCAGGCCAGCCCCCCCTGCATGGTCCCCTTACTCTTGAGGCCACATAGGAGCACTCCCGTGGTCTTGGAAGGTCCAGTTAGGAATTTTCTCTACACTGAGTGGCAGTCTTCCCAGGCCCCCTCCTGCTCCTAGAGTCAGGGACAGGGTCATGGAGAGCCTGCTGGGCCCAGTCCCGTGGTGTCTGTAACCTAGCGCTTCCCTCACCCAGGCCAGTACTGGCGCTCCCTGCAGCGCCTCCCCTCCACTGTGGCCTACTCCCTGGTCGAGGCCCAGAAGCGTGAGAATGAAGAAGCCGAGACAGTCACCGCCATGGCCTCCCTGTCCGTAGGTGTGAAGCCCGCTGAGAAGAGGTGAGCACTGCAGGGCCTGGCCTGTGGCACTGCATGGAGGGGCCGCCTTCTGAAGGAGAGCCGAGTCTCAGCTCCTGCATCTGAGGCCTCTCAAGGCCATGGGGGGGTCAAGTGTCCCCATCCAACACATCTTTCCCGTGTGGAAGGCCCTTTGAAACACGAGGTGTAGTGGGGAGCATTTATCCCTGAGCAGGTGGCCCAGTAACACCTGGTTAGGAGCCAGGAATTGAAGGTGGGACGTGGAAGGTGGGAGGTGGGAGGGGGAGAGCAGTCCTGTTGGGGGAAGAGGGCCAGACGACAGACAGAGAAGGCCCTGCAGTGCTGCCTCTAACCCTCCATCTGTCCTTTCTCTTTTCTGCCGTGTTCCTTTCCACTGCCACAGGCCTGAGGAGGAGCCCATGGAAGAGGAGCCGCCCCTGTAACCATGCCCACAGCTGCGACTCTTGTTTGTCTGTCTGTCTTGAAGCTCCGCCAAGAAAAGTTGCTGTTTCTCTGCATCCTGCCAGGCGTTCTCTCAGAATCCGCAGGTGCGCCAGGGGCCCAGACCCCAGGTCTCACCGGGCAGGGCAGCCTTACACAGAACCCGGGACAGACGCCGGGAAGAGCAGACACCGACATGCAGGGCACCAGGCTCGCCCTCGGCCCCCGTGAGGGATGCCGAAGAGGGAGGAAGCCTGCGGCAGCTCGCGGCAGAGTTGCCCGATTTAGTTGACATGAGGAAAAGAAAATGAAAATCAAAGATCTAACAATACAACACAAACTTGATCAAAACTGGTGCTTAAAGTTTGATGATTAATTACCCACAATTCCACAGTCTCCATGTAAACCACTCATCTTGTAGCTTACTTTTTAAAGAGAACGTTTTCTATCGCTCTGGCCTGCCTCTGTGAACCAGAGCGGTGTGTGGTGGGGTTTGCAGCCGGGTGGGGGACAGAGTGGATGAGCATTTAAGAAAAAGAAAAAAAATGGACAAAAATGGAAATGTGAGCCTGCAAGAGCCGGCTTTGCTTTCTCAAAGCCATCGGAAGATGCAAGTTTGTGCCTTTTTTTTATTGCTCTGATGGATTTTTGTGGCTGGGTTTTCTGAAGTCTGAGGAACAATGCCTTAAGAAAAAAATAAGCAGCAGGAATCGATGGGACAGCCCTGTGGCCGGTGGGGCTGGCAGTGCCCGTGGGGCAGGAGGCCGCCCCGTGCCGGCCAGGCCTTCGAGAGCAGGCGCAGGCCGCGGCCGGCGGCTCCAGAGGGCTGCCAACCTGCCGCCCTCCTTTGGCTTTATTGTTGTGTAAGAAAAATGGAGGTAGTTCCCAAAAAGTGGCAAATACTCTCGGGAGTTTTGAAGTCTAACAAATTTTAAATGAATCCAAAGTGTTCTTTTCTCATACGTCATATAACAGTTGAGCATCTCCATTGGTTGTGAAGCATGTCCTAGGCACACCTTCAGTGTTACGGTTGGAATGCTTTTTATTAAAAGCAAGTAGCATGAAGTACTGCTTAAATTTTAGGTATAAATAAATATATATATGTATAATATATATTCCAATGTATTCAAGCTAAGAAACTTGATTCTTATGAAATCTTGATAAAATATTTATAATGCATTTATAGAAGAAGTATATATATATATATATATATAATAAATGCAGGTTGTCAAGGTCCCTGGGAACGAACGACTTGTGAATTAGCTACCAAGGTGCTTACGGAAAGGGATCTAGTTTGAACTCATGTAGTTTGAAGTCCAGATTGGATCGATTTCAGATCGCCAGCACATTCGCCACTGGCAACTACCACACGTTTGTATTTCATTTTAATTATTTTCTAACAGACCCCTCCCGCTCCACACCTCCACCCACATATGTACCTAATAAGTTTTTATAGCAAGAAATATAAATTTGCTGTTGATTTTTGTATGAATTTTTCACAAAAAGATCCTGAATAAGCATTGTTTTGTGAATTTCACTTTTTTTTTTCTTTTCTTTTTTTGCACCATTTAGCAGTTTTCTGAATGGTAATAATGTCTAAACCTTTTTCCTTTCTAAATTTTCGCTTGTACATTTTTTTAACTTTAAACGTGTTTTTTATTGTTTTCACTTTTGTTTGTATGGTAAACAGTTTTCTCCAAACGGAACTGCTGCCATCCGGGTTTATTTTCAGAAAGAGCGTCGCCTGCGTGGCAGATCTGGGCTGTCGGTGGTGGCGGGCTTCTCCTGCCTCGCCAGCAGTATTACCGGGTGGTGTGTTTCCCTCCGTGGCAGGTGTGGAGAGGGCCACTCGTGACACTGAACGGTTACTTGCCAGACACTGCAGGCCGTCAGCTTTCCTAAAACTCATTTAAACTTCTCTGACCATGTCGTCAGACTAGCTTCAGTTTTCCAAAGACCTTTTAAGCATGTCAGCAATGCATGGCCCGGCGCCAGTCCAGGTTTTTCTGCTGCAGCCACGTGGCCCTGCCCTTGCTGCCTGGCGAGCCTGTGGGGACTCCGGACTCCTGAGCAGCGCAGCCGGCCTTTGCTCTTTTTCTCTCTGACAGAAACGGAACGTCACTTTTACTGGTAACTTATTTTCAGAACTTGAAGCCACCGCTTTCATTCCCAAGTGTGTACTGAGTTCAGACTCGTGGGGGAAATGCAGACCCAGCGTGCCCCAGGAGGGAGCCTCAGCCAAGCCTCTGAGTTTGGTGACATTCACAGGGTAGCTTCTGAGAGCCACTGACACAGTTGGGTGTTGACCAAAGGAATCCAAATGCTTGGATTGGCTTGGTCATGGGGATGCTGTTGGTCAGAAATAGGACAGTGGGTTGAGGTAGGACAAGAGGGTCATGGAGCACATTTGGCTCCTTTCCCCTCTGGCCACTCTGCCCTGAGGCCCACTTGGCAGGAGGAGCTCAGGAGGGATCGGTGCCATCCTTCCCGGAGTGGCGCAGAGCAGTGGCTTCTCAGCTCCCTTCTCAAGATCCCCCGCTGGTGGCTTCTCAGCTCCCTTCTCAAGATCCTCCGGGGACCCCTGCCGCCTGCCTGCTCTGCCAGCCCTGGCTCTCGGGAGGAATGCGACATCTGACCTTTTTACAGATGATCAGATGGCCTGGACCTCTTGGTGGCCACATTCTCCCTGGGGGTTTACTTCCTCTCTCCCAGAGACACCCTGCAGATAGGTCCCGCAGGGAGCCTGTTTCGCTTGTCAGCTCACTCCAGCTTCACAGACGTGCAGAAAGCAGAGCCATGTAGCCTTTTTTTTCTGTGAAGACACTCAGCCCCTCTCCACGGCCCCCGTCCAGGGCAGATGGCGGAGGGCCTGCCAAGTGTGGGCAGGACTCTGCGTGAAGGAGGGCCCCTCCGCCCTCCCTCTTTGGTCCTTGGACCTTAGCCTTTTTCTTCCTTTGCAAAGTCCTTAGGGCACAGGCTGGGGGTCAGCAAGTGAGCACTTTATAGCCCTTCACGGGAAACTGTGATGCCGCAGGCCGGGGTGTCACCCGGCCCTTTCAGTTTTCCCGCCACGACGCATCTGAGCCCCACCAGCAGGCAGCCATCCGGGACTGCACCCGGCTTCCAAAGGGCCTCTTTGTCAACGTGTTTCAGTTTTTCTTTCTTTCTTTTGAAGTCTGTTTCCAGAGGAAGGACCCTTTTGTATCGGTCTGACACTGGGAGTCTGGGTGGCAGCACCAGCCTCAGAGTCGGTTGTTTTCAATTTTCCATCGGAACATTCCTCCTTTCCTGGTCACAGCCGCGTGCTCATTCCATTCTTCTTTTTGTAGACTTTGGGCCCACGTGTTTTATGGGCATTGATACATATATAAATATATATATAAATATATATGAGTATATTTTTTTAAGTTTCCTACACCCGGAGGTTGCATGACTGTACGGCCGGCATGTCTTTATATTGTACACAGATTTGCACGCCGAACTCGGCAGCTTGGGGGAGAAGAAAAATGCCTTTGTGTTCCCCTCTCGTGACATTTGCTGACTCAAAAGATGGAGATTTTTCTGTAACGTAGCAAACCCTTGGAGGAGAGGGGGGAACGTTTGCGTCTTATTGAACTTATTCTTAAGAAATTGTACTTTTTATTGTAAGAAAAATAAAAAGGACTACTTAAACATTTGTCATATTAAGAAAAAAAAGTTTAACACTTGTGACATACCATAATAGAGTTTATTGTATTTATGTGGAAACAGTGTTTTAGGGGAACTACGCAGAATTCAAGTGAACTGCCTGTCTCTTCATTTGATTTGGAGGAGTTTTGTTTTGTTTTGTTTCCTTTGTTTCCTTTATCTTCTTGGGCTGGGGGCGAGGTGAGCACAGCCCTCCTGGCCCTGTGGCCGTTGGTGCCGATGGAGAACCGGGGGCCCCAGAGCGCCCCTTTCCGCACAGCGCGTTGCCCTTTTTTATTCCTTTTTAGATCATGTATGGCTAAGATTTCACTTTAAGCCGTCGTGAACTGTGCGAGCACTGTGGTTTCAAATTTTACTTTGCACCGAAAGGAAACCATTTCTTCCTTGTAATGAAGCGAGCTTGTTCCTAGCTCAGCTCACTTTGTCTCTGACATAATTAAAAGTCTCCTATGGAAAGAAAAGAAAGTGACAGTTTCTGTTTGTTTCTTGGTGTGTGTGCTCCATGGTGGAGGCCCTATTTTCCAGTTTCTGAGAATGACACATACAGAACACACACACACGCGGGGGCTGACCCTGTCCACCCGAGAGCTCATCACAGGCCCGGGGGTAGCGCCACATCCACCCGACGCCTGTGCCTGCGTGGGCGGGTGCCCCTTGGAGCAGCCGCCTGTTTCTTCTGTAACTTCATCGGTTGTCCCGTTGTCTGGACCTCCCGGGGTCTTTCCTTCGCTCAGTGGGGTCAGAAGTGTTCTCATTTTGTTCTGTCAGGTGGATCTGCACCGGCTAACTGTGTCCTGAAGGCCGACTCCACCTCCACTTCACCCGGAGCCCAGTTTTTGTACCTCGTCATACAACTTGTTACTCTTGTGGTGTCAATAAAGACAGCATTCATTGCCCTCTCACCTCTGGCTTCTGCCCGTGTGCTCTTGTCCTTGCTGGCTCGTGGGCCAGGGACCCCGTGGGGCTGCCCGCCTGCACTCAGCCTGGGTTGGGGAGTGCCTGTAGTCCTTGCAGTGTTTTCTTTCCAGACAAACTTTGCAACTCTGGGGAGGTGGGCTGGACATGCTCTCAGAGGAAGACAAGGCCCAAGAGCCTAGGCTGGGCCACCTTCCCCCAGCTGGGCACATGCCCCCTCACAATCTGCAAACCCATGCACAGCCTTCGCTGAGCAATACACTGCCCCCCACCCCAGACCATGCCACCATCTCCTTGGGCTGCCCAGTTCTGGGACTACCTATTGGGGTGAAAGATGGGTAAAGTCGGCCTCCTGGGCAGACCCGTGGTTCTAGCCCACTCCTGAGCCTGTCCAAGATGCGGCCCCCCGCCCCCCCACACACACACACAGCCACTGCCCCTCTGCTAAGTCCGGTTCTTACCTCTCCTTTCACAGCTGCCACCCAAGGGCACTCGAACATTCTATATACATCACCCCCCCCCAAGTTTGCTCCCTGGGACCCCCCTAGAATGGGCCACAGAACGAGGTATGGGGAGCATATCCTCCCAAGCTGACAGCAAGACACAGGCACAGCTGCCAAGCCACAGCCTGGAGGCCAGGAGTGCTTGGAGTCAGACATGGGCTGGGGGCCTGGAGCTGGGGCACTGGGGGCTGGAGGGCTGGGGGCCTGGAGCTGGAGGGCTGAGGCCTGGGGGTGGTTACATGTTCTTCCTGCCAAACGCGGGGATGGCAGCTGGTGAGAGGCTACCATATACCCAGGGCCAGTTAAGGCTTAGGTGGATATTTGTGAGAATATATCCATTTGCCCAAAATGAGAGGATCTTATTCTTACAGTTCTTATTTCTGAAACCAACTAAAAGTACAGTATTTCCAGCTCTCGGCCCAGGAGGCTCCTGAGCGCTGCTTCAATTTTATTAGAATCGAGGTTTATGTGACACATCTTTTGTGTCACTTTATCTCAAAGTGACTTTTTAAAAATATATTTTATTGATTTTTTACAGAGAGGAAAGGGAAGGGATAAAAAGTTAGAAACATCAATCAGCTGCCTCCTGCACACCCCCTACTGGGTATGTGCCCACAACCAAGGTACATGCCCTTGACCGAATCAAACCTGGGACCTTTCAGCTCGCAGGCTAATGCTCTATCCACTGAGCCAAACTGGTTAGGGCTCAAAGTGACTTTTTAATGTATATTACAAAGTGTTGATACTTTCCTACCTTTAAAGAATATGAAATACCACAGCCGCACAGTGGAGAGAACTCGCAGGGTGTATGCCCACCACGGAGACTGAACAAGTTTCACGGGCAGCTGCGTCAGCCGCTGTGTGTGCAGGGAGGCATTACGTGCCAGGTGAACAGAACTCAAAGCCATACCTTCAAAGACACCCGAGGAGGAAAGGGGAGGAATTGCCCTAAAGTAATGCTGGTGAACAATGTCTTCTCCTTGACAGTGGATGTGGGCGTGACCATGACGACATCACATTTGCAACCTCTGCCCACAGAACTCAGAACATCTCAAGGAATTCTACAACTGTTCCACAGGAGAATGTGGAATGTTGGGTATTTTCTAGCATATCCCCCCTCAAACCCCCAGAACCAGAAGGGCATCCTGTCCCACTGTCCTGAGGGACCGGGGCAGGACATCTGCCTGGCAAAGCCACTGTGGGGGCGCCCTCAGCTTCCCAGGCCAAGGTTTGGGGTGATGCACCCAATACCGTGCAGGACTGCTGTGAGGTCACCTAAGCTTAGTGGGCTCCCGGCCATGGAGGCTTTATCAATATGGTTACTGCCCTGTCATATGTTCTGTGTTATGCAACATAAATCATTGTTAGTAAGATGCTCAGTGTGGTTAGATGAGCTCAAAGCAGTTCCTGGGGGCAGGGGCACCGTGAACCGGGCCCCCCAGAACCCCTCTATCCCTATTTCCCCAGCAGTCCTCACATTGAGGGGCTGTGACGGGATGGATGGCAGCAGGAGAGGAGCAAGAACAGGGCAGCAGAGGAGAAACCAGAAGCCCGGTGGTCCCAGCCCTTTCCTCGGGGCAGGGGTCCCTGCTGGTGCCCAGGGTCCCTGCTCCTGGGTGCTGTGAGGCCCTGCTGTGTGCCTAGAAGGAATCCCTGTCCTGGGGCAGAAGCTGGACCCGGGGTTGTGCATTCACCAGGGATGTGGCACGGCCAGCCTACAGGGTCTGTCCCATCAGGAGAAGACAGGGACCCCAATGACAGAAGCACATGACCCCGCCGGGGCCTGTTGGAGGCACTGCAGAAACCTGTGATGCAGGTTTTAGGGGAGCAATGCTTTGCCATCTTCTGTGTCTGAAATGTTCAGGCCGCTTGGCAGAGGGCCTGAGCCTGCGTGTGGGTCCTGCCCTGGCAGGTCCGTGTTTGGGTGACGGGACCCCAGTCTCTGCTGCCTCTCCTGGGGTTGGGGACCGTGGGAAGCCACAGCGTCTCCCTGAACTGGGCTCTACTAATGCCCAGTTCCAGTCTAACCCCACAAACGCTGGCTTGGGGACAAGGCCTCCGGGGAGTGGAGATTAATTAATGCCATTGGCTCCAGGAAGTGTTTTGTAATTAAATATGTCCAGTGCCTTTGACCGTGTGTGGAAACACTTCCACACGCTGTTAACGTGATCTGACAGACTCAAAAAGTCATTGCCAGGAGCCGGGCAGAGTGGAAGTGTTTTCTCCAGGCTTCTCGGCCTGGGGGTGTTGGGTCATGGGACCCTCCCTGCCCGCAACAGGGATAAGACAGGCTGGACACTCTGGACTCCCCAGGCTTTCTGAAGTTTGGGGAGACTTCATCACCAGCGGGTGCCACAGGGGGGCAGGTGTAGTGTTTGGGGACAGTGGGTGGGATCCCCCCACCCGCTCTGGCTTCCTGGGGAAGCTGGTATAAGCCTGTCACCCCCTACTGGTGATTCCAGGAACTGCAGTAGCATTCAGCTGCCCACCCCTCGCCCTTGGCCCCCATTCACCTCTCAGTCCCCAAGCCCTGACCCTAACTAGAAGAGGATGCAGGTGACAACGGTGGCATTGGCAAATGTCAGACACCTCAAACCATCCCCCCCTGTCGCAGAATTCAAAGGTGAGACTGCTCTCCCCGGGGAGCCTGCGGTGCTTTCTCTGAGTTCTGAGTCCTTTCCTGCAGTCCACTGCCCTGGGAGCAGAACTGATTTCTGGGCAGTGAGGACGCCTGGGGTGCTCTGGACAGAAGGTGCCCCAGGACCCAGCAATGGCTCTCTCTTCTCTCGGTGGCCCTGCAGCTCAACACTCATCTCTAACCCGCTCAGTGTGGCTTTGCCGGGTGCTGGGCACTGTCTGGGTGGACAGGAGAGACTGATGGAGGGGCGCACACTCTGGTGGTGGGAGGTGTGACATGCTAGGCACATGTGTCAAACACAAGGCCCGCGGGCCAAATCCGTCCCGCCAGGCCTTGCAATGTGGCCCGCACCGCGCTGTCATCACTGCACTCCGCTGCGTTTCCATCACAATGACAGTTTATGACTGTTCAGTAAACCATTCGGCCCGCGATTTAGGCTGGATTTTAGATTTTGGCCCCTTCTCTGATTGAGTTCGACACCCCTATAGAGTGAGAGAAGGCAGAGCAGACAGCAAGGAACAGGAGCCACCCCACCGGTGAGAGAAGGGGCAGGAGAAGGAGCACCTGTGCCCATGGCAGGGGCTGGTGAGGTCAGCACAGAGAGCTCTGAGACCACAGGGCCCCAGGGCTCCTTCCTGGAGGTGAGCACCCAGCGCCTCAGGCCCTAAAACGGCCTGGTCCTCACACTCCCTGGGGTTTGGCCCACCCCAGCCGGCCTTCCCTTGGTTGGTCAGAGCCCCGAGCTTGTAGTGCCTCTGCCTGAGATTGGGATTCACTGGGGATAATGATGTTCCAGGGGCTGCAATTATGCGTAGATATTTGACTCAATTAAAACCGCCAGCAGTCTTGAGAAGCAGGCGTTGTTCTTTGCAGAATAACCTGGGGCTCCCAGAGGTTAAGACCCTCAGTAACAGGCTGTTCCTGGTCCCAAAGCTGCCGGCTACACCGCGTGGCCCCCAGCGGGATCACCACATGGATAGATGCACCTCATTCTCTGTAACTTTCCAGCTAGAAGACTTTAAAGTTGCTCAAGGCCTTTTCACAGGCTTGCTGGGGCAGCGGGGAGGGGAGTGTGGGGATGGGAGGAGGGAGCGTGTCCTGGCCTTTAAGTGCAGAATGTAGGGTTTTCCCTCCGTGCCTACCAGCAGGGAGGGCCAGCCAACTTTGTGCCCTTGGAGCCGCTCGCGGGGAGAGGGGGCCATGGCAACAGCTGATAACTATGCCAGACCCTTTCCACGTGTTTTCCTCAACTGCAGGTCCTCTTGTCCAAACGCCACGTGCTGAGGTGAATGGCAGTGAACACGGAGACGTGCCGGTGGAGGGGGAATACACTCTGTCCCTCCCTGGTTGCAGGTGTTGCAATATCATCTCCTGCCCCACGCCTTCCACAACTTGGGAAAAGTCTTGAGGAGCAAACCAGCTACGTGTTTGACACCGCTCCTTCCCTCAGCATGTCTTTGTTTCTTCAGAAATACAGGGACGTCCTGTCTGCCTCTTAGATGTTCCCGAGCCTCCCACAGCCTCTGCGTGTGGCCTGCCAGCCGTGCAGGAAAGGCTGCGTGCTGTCTGGGTTCCTGGCGTGTTAACCTTGTTGCACCAGCTCCACGCCGCTCTGAAGGCTTTTCCGCTTCACCTCCCAGAGGCCCCACTGAGCCGGTTTTGTGTACTGGGCACAGGTACATCTCCAGAGGCTCCCATCAGTGTGTGTGCTGCTTTGTGGTCGGTTTATTTGACTTCAACGTTATTTTCTATACTCGTTTTTGTTTATCAACATAATCGGCACATTGCTGGTATTTTCTCTCCTGTTTTAACTGGAAACACATACGAATAAATATTAATAGGTGAA